CCTATATTGATTATTACTACGTTAATCATTCTTGTTTAAAGGCTTAAGCCTTAAACATAATAATGCACACCGCTCTGTGTGTAGTCCCATTATTCTAGTTGTCCTAGAGTACAAAATGTTAATTTAAAAAATAAAAAATATTTCGAGAATATCCTATTTCTTTTTAGGTGTGCTGAATATAGTACGTTTTTAAATAAGTCCCCTTTTCAATATGATGAAACACCAAATATTTTTAAACATCAATTTTTTTGTTAAATTCATTTTGTTACGGATTAAGGATAAGAGTATACAAAAAATCAATTAACTAGAAACTTTTTAGCACCAAATTAACTGGAGATTGCTGATAAACTTCATATTTTTTAGTGATGAAACCATTTAAATTTAATCATCCTTAAGTATTTAAACATGTATAAAATTTGGAAACATATAAAAACCAATAATAAAGCACAAAGTCGCAAACAATAACAAAAATATATTACTCCCTCTAGGTCATTTTTTTTTACCTATTGTACCCTCAATTAATTATTTTGAAAAAAGTAGAACTTTTTGAAAATCTTAAGTTTTTAATTCATCCAATTCCTAATTAATAGGGGTAAAAATGGTAAACTCATTATGTCAATTTTTTTTAATAGGTGTGTTTGCTAGGAGAATATTTTCCAAAAAACAAAAAGTAATTTAATGATACTTGAAAATTGAAACGACGGAAATCATTTTCTAGGGAAAAAAAAGAAATCGATTTCATAAAATTTAGCAAAATGACATAAATCTCATTTTCCTTGCACATATTTTAACTTTTAATTTTTTATCACTTGATTCAACTATAATAATCTATATATATGTTATTGTGAATCTCTACATTCTCTTTTATCCAAAGTTTCATCAAAATACTATGTAATTTGTTGATATTAGTATTAATATTTATTTATTTATTTGATTTTTTTTCATTCACCGTCCCAGCATGGAAAACATTTTCCATTCCAAACACACCCGTGCAATAATTCAGAATGTATTAGTCAAAGAGGAAATTGCAAGAAATAATTATTATAATAAAATATCTTATATTCCTCTTTGGTTGTACTCTCATGTATCATGTATGGGTCAGAGAGGAAGTTCAGATTCTGTATGATGATTTTTTAAAAATCAAATGCGTTTATTAATTAAAAAAAATTCCCCTCGGATTTAGACTTTTCTTGTCAAATTGCTTGAGAAAATTACATAGTTTGCACTTGTTATAATATATGGTAACTTGGTCTCATTTAATTTGGATATGATTTGAAATCAGATTAATTTGAAATTAATTTTTTTGACTAGATATGCAATTCAAATTTCATAAGTTATGTTTTATTTTTTAATCATAAACATGAAAATCTCAAAAATTATGAGAATTATCATAATTTTTTTTTGAAATTTATATAATCTTACCAAATAAGCAACTCACAATTCATAAATAAGACATCGAAATATCCTAAGGCAATGTATTGATAAATCATATATCTTCATGTTCCTTTTATAAATAAATATTTATCGTTACAAACTTTTAAATACACATAATTTTGTATATAAAGATTTATTAGTTAACAATTGTAGTAGTAACTAGTTTTTTTCAATATAATCCTTTTGTTTGGTACAAACAAGCTCTTCACCCGGATCATAAGTTTTTTTTCTTTCCAAAATTTAAAATGATGAAATAATTTTTATAAAAATATAAACTTATGAGTCAAGTTTTACATTTAAAAAGAATGAAATCACAATTAATTGGAATCTCAAATCCAATTTTTTTTTGGAGAATTTACAAATTTAAAATCATGATCTCAAATAACATATTTGTGAAATCCCACTAAATGAGGTATGGGGAGGATAGAATGTACACAATCATTGTCACCATTTTGTAAAAGCAAATAAACTATTTTCGAAAGACCCTCAACTCAAGTGTTCAATAGCTGATTTAAACTCATAATTTCAAATCACATATTCAAATGCCTATTTGAATTCCCCATTCTTTTAATAGCACTAGTGTTTCTTGAGTCATCAAACACAGCCTCCTCATGGGCCATGGCGTTATCAACCACCCATAATCATCGAATGTACCAGTCTTACGTCAAACTAAACTGTACAAGATAATTTGAGAATATATCATTGGTTTTTTTTTTGTTATATAAAAATAGGAAACTCATTTATATTAGGAATATATTGTTGTCCTCTATTGGAGGAAAATGAAGATTTTATTAGGTTTATATGGAAAAAAATCTACACTAACTTATAGAATTGAAAATATCGACATAGAGTTAGAATTTTAACTTTAAATATTTTTTTAAGTAATAATAATTGAGTTTTAAATGTAATATTATAGATATTTACTGAATTTCATAACACAAACACATAATTAAATGGCAAATTTTGTTCTATTTTAAAAGGAAATATTGTAAGAGTATTAAAAAAATCTCAAGAACATACAATGAATTATATGAGTTCAAAATTAATTAAAGTTTTGTTTATATTAATTAAGAGTACTTACTAACGAACATAGCGGGATAAGAGATACATTTATTTTCTAATAACTATATTTAATGCATGACCTGTACATTGCCTCTCTCAATTTATTACTATTAATAAAATACTTCACTTATATTATAAAAAAAACATAAATGGTGCTTTGCACCAATATTTGATCTGTATTCTTCATACTAGTACTATTTCATGCCCAAGGGGGAAAAGTAAAAAGTTTCCTAATCAAGATAGGTGTCACTGAGTCATTATGCACTCGAAAGTGAATTCATTTTTAGAATTTACGTGAGATTATTTGACTGGATATAAAAAAAATCACAAAAAATTATATAAAGAAAACGACTAATAATAAAATAGTGTTACATGAATTATGATAAATTTGTATAAGTATAAACTATTGAAAACGAATAATCTTGGCGCCCATTGACAATCGTTTGTCTCCAATATTGAAATTCTATGAGTACATCATGATTCATGAAGATGATTTATTTTCACATTAAAAAGAAGAAAATTCAGGGGGAAAAAATATTACGTCATATTTATTGGATTTCTGACCAGAAAATATAATTAAATGATACTCTACATGACATCAAACGTAACTAGTCTAAGTCACAAGTTAAGGACACACATACTTAACAACACAACAACAATATAATCCAGTCATGACTCATGAATCATGCGATCGAATTTTGAGAGAATAGAATATACACTGATTTTTTAAATTTTTGGTAAGATAGATAATATATTTTCGATAAACTTTTGGCTCAAATAGAAAAAAGTTCGAAGTATGACAATACAAATGTATAACAATAAAAAATCAAAGGTACAAAACAAATGAAGAAAGGGAATATTAAAAGAGGGTAATACATGTGGAAGAAAGGAAAACAACCTGATTACTATTTAAATTACTAATTTGTGGTGATTTTTAATTTGACATTTTAAGTTGTAACTAATAACGACATCAATTTATTATTAAAAAACAATAAAAAATTAAGTGATACTCCACATGACGTCAAACTAGTCTCAGAAGTCACGAGTTTAGGACACATATTTTAATTGCTAAGTTGGAGAAAATTTTAATCTAACATTTTAAATGTGAATTAATGACATCAATTTATTTTTGTAAAGAAAAAAAATATATTTGACTTTGAGTTAGTTTGATCTTTCGATTATTTTATTTATTGACATAGTTTTATTATTTTAAGCAAAGTCTACTACTTTGATTTGACGTTGCATGTGTTGAGCGTGATATCCCTACTAACATATTTAACTCAAATCTTTAAATTAAATTAATTTAACTATTTATTTCCAATCATTTTAGTCTACTTCTACTTTAATTTCCAAGGGCCAAATATATATTTTCACTAAGATTCTCAAAATGTATTATAGTTATCCGAACTTTAAATTAAATTAATTTAACTATTTATTTCCAATCATTTTAGTCTACTTCTACTTTAATTTCCAAGGGCCAAATATATATTTTCACTAAGATTCTCAAAATGTATTATAGTTATCCGAACTTTAAATTAAATTAATTTAACTATTTATTTCCAATCATTTTAGTCTACTTCTACTTTAATTTCCAAGGGCCAAATATATATTTTCACTAAGATTCTCAAAATGTATTATAGTTATCCGAACTTTAAATTAAATTAATTTAACTATTTATTTCCAATCATTTTAGTCTACTTCTACTTTAATTTCCAAGGGCCAAATATATATTTTCACTAAGATTCTCAAAATGTATTATAGTTATCCGAAATCTAATAAAATGACTGATCACTATACTATTTACAAACAAGTTTTTAAAATTTTTACTTTAGAAAGTTAATCAATCTCTATCTGATTAGACAAGAAAATCGGGGGAATTAAGCTAAAAAATAGTGAAAGTAAAAACTTTAAAAGTTTGAAGCTAATGGATCATTCATTGATGTAGCTCAAAGGCCACAGGCCCACAGCTACTTCGGCCCAAAAATGAGAAAAAATCTTTTGGGCTTACGCGGAAGCCAAATAGCAGGAAAATGGATGGGCTTTAACTCATTGGGTTGTTCGCCTAAAATAATTGGGATTATTTTCAAATATATACAATAAAGTAATTAGTCTACAATAAATATAATCATATTTTATTTACATAAAAACAGCCAAAAATCATAGTAAATATAAACCAACTATACGATATAGTTTGCCAAATTCATTGAAAGTATACAGTGACTATACGATATAGCTTACATATACATTAGCTATACACTGACTATATATTATGATATACTAAAAAACATAATATAGCTTAACTATACATGAAATATACACTAACTATACGTGAAGTATACAATGACGATTCAGAGTAACTCCGTCTCGCTAATTTTGATGATTGATGAGAAGACAAAGTGAGAAATACTTACCATTCATAGTAACTCCATCTCGTCAATTTTGATGATTGATGAAGAAGACAAAGTGAAATATACTTACCATTCAGAGTAACTTTGTCTAGTTAATTTTGATGATTCTATATCATGTTGACTAAACAATGATATTAATTACCTTAATGATTCTTCCACATACGATGTCATTATTATTATTTAAATGAAAACGAAAAAGTACATGTTTTTAAATAAAACATAACAAAAATAAAAGGACATTTCCATGTGAATCGAGTACTAGAAATCAGATTAAAATTTAAATATATCTAATCAATTTTAGTACCATACGTACTTGCATCTTGCAGCAAATTAGTCAATCCATTGTAAGATGATCCTCCTTCTTCAATAGCTTGTTTTGCCATTTCCTTATACTCTTTTGCTCTGTTTATGAATCCCTCTGCTTCTTCACTCACCATTACTCTCTTTATTGCTTTACTTATTTCTTCCCTTTTCACTCCTTCACTTGCTGCTACCTCCCATTTCACTGAACCAACCCCAACCCCAATTCTCAAAACATCAGTCACCAACTTCTCATTCAAAAATTGTTCAGCAAACAGGGGCCATGTCACCAATGGCACCCCTGCTGATATTCCTTCCAACATCGAATTCCATCCACAATGAGTCACGAATGCTCCTACACCTTCGTGATCAAGAATCAACACTTGGGGTGCCCATCCTCTTATGATTAATCCTTTTTCTTTCGTTCTTTCCTCGAATCCTTCAGGTAGACACGAGTCTTCGTTTTCTTGTTTGAATTTTCTTTCTCTGATAACCCAAATGAATTCTTGTCCAGAATCTTCAATTCCCATTGCAAGTTCTTGAATTTGTGATCCAGTGAATTTTACTCCGCTTCCAAAACAGATGTAAACAATAGAACTTGATTTCTTCGAATCAAGCCATTTCAAGCACTCGTGTTTATCGATAGAGGATTTCTTCCCTCTTTCTGTTTTATCTTCAATGTCCCTGTTGCACAGCGAAAGAGGCCCAATAGCCCATGATTTATTATCTTGAACTTTGGTATAATGTTCAAAATAATCTGGTTCAAGTTCGTAGAAACTGTTGAAGATAACTCCATAGCTTTTCAAATCCGCCTCCCTGACTTCATGAAATATCTGGAATATAATTGCCTCTTCCTCTCCTAGATCAAACGGAGACAACTGCGTTGTGGTCAGCCTGATTTGATGAGGCAAATTCGGTACAACAAAAGTTTCAGAATCAGATGACACATTCTTGAAAGGCTTATTACGTTTGATGCTTTCCGCAACACAGAGAGCAAAGAAACCTGTGCCATGGAAAACAATTCTTGGAATGTTGAATTTGGCAGCAGAATCAGTACTCCAAGGGAATAACATATCTGAAACAATACAATCGGGACGACACTCTTTAACAAGATTCTCAAATGGTTCTTGCATCATAGCTGTAGCTTTGAAGAAGTTTTTGAACAATTCAGGGGAAGGAACGAGATCGAGGCGTTCACATCCTTCAGGCAAATCATTCTCCACTGCTTGAAATGTTATCAAACGGATGTCAATTTCGATACCCAAATGCTTGTTTCTTTGAATAGAATCTGAGAAAACCGATTCATTGAGAGGGGTAGTGATTATAGTTGCCTTAACACCGCGTGAAGCGACGAGCTTAGCCATGTCAAGTGTAGGAATCATGTGACCTTGAGCCATCAGGGGAAAGAAGAAAAAATGAAATCGACTCATACCTTCAATTTTCAGTTTCTTTTTGGGAATGAGCTTATTCAGTTGTAATTGAAGGATTGCAAGAATTACCAAATGCATCATATATTAATAGACTTTTTTGTTCGAAACAGGGAAACTGTTAAGAAAAATTATTGCCTTTGCTATTACTCCACTTTGTAATGTTCATTGAATTTTTGCCCTACATGATTTCAAATTGTCGGCCACTCTTGAGCTACATTGTTCATCGACTCCTATTCCCATATTTCTCATTAAAAAATTGCGCTGAGCCAAGTTACTGTTTCAAATCCAGCAGTTTGCTGATCAAGAATCCTGACGACTTGGGATTAGTGCTGTGATGATTGACAGAAGAACCAGGTCTTTATCAGGTCTCAATAATGAGCTGGCAGTGTTTATGATTGACAAACAACTATAGAAGAACAAGTTCCTTTGCATGTCTATTCCGAGGAACAAGTTTTATGCACATAGTGAAAGATTCAAGTTCTTACTTAAAATACGATCGGAGACGACTGTTGATCAAATGCGACAAAGTAGAAAATATTGTCATGAAGAACACACACATCGATCCAACTCTCTTGTTAGTTTTCTGGATCTAAGTATCCAAAAATGACCATTCTGGCTACTGTATGCTTTCTACTTTATGGCGGCGTAAATAAATCTCTAAGGGTCATTTGGTATGAGAGATAATATTCCGGAATAAAATATAGAATTATTTTATGATGCATTTGGTTAGGAGTATTAGTTAGTTCCAGAATTATCCATCCCACCCATTTATACTATAATGATGGTATAAGCTATAACTTTTTTCTGTCTCCCATACCAGACAACCCCTAAGTTTTTCTTATTTCAATACTATACAAACCATATAGTTAGTTACAAATGTGTGAATAGTCCTTTGAAATTTATATTACGTGTAATACTTGGTAAAAGAAAAAAAAAAGATTACGTAACAAAAGATCACACTTGTAGAGGGAATATGGTCAAACAAGAATGACAGAAAATGGTAGACCCAGAAAACTATAGTCTAAACATTGTCGGGCGACTAATTAAAACTTAAATGAAGGATCCAACTAAACTTGAGATCTGGCGTCTCATAATTTTGCAGCATTCACAGAAGTCTTTGGCCTTATGGAAGTATTCAACAATTGCGGAGAGACATATTCAATAAATCAATTAGTAGTGATTATTCCATTTTAATTCTATGTATTATTCACATGTCCAAATTTCACGACTTTGGAGCAATTAGTCAAGAAGAGTTGTAGTTTGTTTTACTACCATAGTACATACGTCATCTTCGTGTTTGTGAATAATATGACGTGTGACGAAAGTTTTATGTTGATAATCGAGGTATCTGATACGTTGATTTCGAGATGACTGATCTTGGGTTGAAATATTCTTTTTGAAGTCATTAATTATTAGAAGTGGTGACAAAAGGTAATGATCAAATCAGCAAAACAGAAAACGTACACACGCATAATATAGAAACATACATGTTTTTTTTTAATCACTACTTAATGACCTGTGGAAGTATATGAAGTTATATCTTGTAGCAAAGTAGCCCATCCATTGTAAGATGATCCTCCTTCTTCAATAGCTTCTCTTGCCATTTCCTTATACTCTTTTGCTCTGCTTCTGAATCCCTCTGCTTCTTCACTCGCCATTACTCTCTTTATCGCCTTTGCTATTGCTTCCCTTTTCACTCCTTCACTAGCTGTTCTCTTCCATTGCATCGAACCAACGCCAGCTCCAGTTCTCATTACCTCAGTCACCAACTTCTCATTGCAAAATTGCTCCGCAAATACTGGCCATGTCACCATTGGTACCCCTGCTGATATTCCTTCCAGTGTCGAATTCCATCCACAATGAGTAACGAAAGCTCCAATAGCTTCGTGATCAAGAATCAGCACTTGGGGTGCCCATCCTCTTATGATTAAACCGTTTTCTTTTGTTCTTTCTTCAAATCCTTCAGGCAGCCAATCTTCATTGCCTGTTCTAATAACCCAAATGAAATCTTGTCCAGAAGCTTCTAGTCCCATAGCAAGTTCTTGCATCTGTGCTGTAGTGAAATCTGCTGTACTTCCAAAACAAACGTAAACAATGGAACTTGATTTCTTCGAATCAAGCCATTTCAAGCACTCGTGTTCATCGATAGATGATTTCCTCCCTCTTTCAGCTTTATCTTCAATGTCCCTGTTACACAACGAAAGCGGGCCAATAGCCCAGTTTTTTCTACCCACAACCTTAGTGTAATGTTCAACATAATCTGATTCAAGCTCATAAAAGCTATTGAAGATAACTCCATAACTCTTTGCATCCGATTCCCTGACAGCTTTAATCATGGGAGTCATACCCGTCTCTTCATCCGATTGCTCAAACGGAGACAATTGTGTTCTAGTGAGCTTAATTTCATGAGGCAAATCCGGTACAACAAAAGTTTCAGTATCAGATGTCACATTCTTGAAAGGCTTATTACGCCTGATGCTATCAACAACACAAAGGGCAAAGTAACTAGTGCCATGGAAAACAATTCTCGGAATGTCAAATTTGGCTGCACTATCAGTTGTCCAAGGAAGGAACATATCAGAAACAAGACAATTTGGGCGACATTCTTCAATAAGCTGCTCAAATTCATCTTTCATCATAGCTGCAGCTTTTAAGAAGTTTGGGAGTTTGTCATCAGAAGGTATAAGATCAAGACGCTCACAATCTTCAGGCAAATCATTCTCCTTAGCTGGGAATTTTAGCAAGCGGATATCGATTTCGATACCCAAATGCTTGTTTCTCTCAATAGCTTTAGAGAAAACAGATTCATTGAGAGGTGTTGTGATTATAGTAGCCTTAACACCACGAGAAGCAACAAGCTTGGCCATGTCAAGTGTAGGAATCATGTGGCCTTGAGCCATCATGGGAAAGAAGAAAAAATGTAGCTGACCCATTTGTGAAAATGCTTGAAGGAAACAAAGAAATGGAAAGTATGGTTGTTTTAAGTTCTAATTGCATGAGTGTCACTTTATATATACGTGGAATTATTAGTGACTTTCGTTGAAGTTGCATATAAGACTAACTTGTTATTCAAGTTGGAAGTAGAGACGTAACGTAAGCACTCACGTGGTTGATTTAACAGGCAAAACCAAACTACTCTTACCGGTTTGATTGGTTTAAGATCGGGATATTTAATTTCATGATTATAATTTTTTTAATTAAAATCATGGCTATAACATATATCAATTTTTACAAATACCTATAATCAAACATGAGATATATTTAATTTCAAAATTTAAATCGGAATTAACTTGCCTTATCAATGAATGAAACGGCAGTAGTGGGGTCCAGGGTGTGGAGATACCCAATTTCTTGAGATGCAAACTTACAGAAGAGAACATTGTAGTAAGACCAAGTGCAGATACAGGTGACATATGCCCTTCCGTCACAAGTCAAGTGAAACACAATTTTTCCTTTTATTAACCTTAATTTAAGAAGGGGTGTATTGTTCAAAGACGAAAACATTGTTTAAAAGTATGAGTGAGTCAGTTCGATTGAGACATTGGATACTACTCCACCGTCCATCTTTACTTGTCTACTATACTAATGTCTAATAATATTAGTTTATGAAATTAATGAATAATTTAATATGTTATATATATTTTACCCTTGCTATAAAGACTATTTAATAAGGGTGATTTGGTAAAATGACTCTTATCATTTACTGCTTCTTAATCATTGATCCAACTCAACTGTGAACGGTTATTAATGGTAATCTTCATTTCAAGTTAATAGTGAACAAATATTATTCGGTTATGTATCGTTTCATAAATCATCTAGAAGATGGCAAGATGCATTTTGTTCATTACCATTTGATTTTGGCGGAATACTTGAGAAGGTGGTGGTGACCACATAGGTGTAGCTAGGTGGGGTTCGTCCGTTCGAACGAATTCAATAATTTTTTCGTAGATTTTATATTTGTACTAGAAAATTAATTAAATATATATGTATATTAACTTGTGAACCCCAACAAAATTAATTGACGACTCAATGGTAAGGAAGGGACAATACAAATGCTCCTAATCCCGACTCCACCTTTGAGTGACCACTTCATAAAAAATAAAATAGAATTTGATTTATTGACCTAGACTTTGGAGTTAATAACTCTTTTTTCCATGCGTTTACGACTCCTTTATCTTTTTATATTGTTTAACTTGTATTGATTTGATATATTCTTAAAAAGTTTTAATTAGAGATATATAATAGTAAGCTAACATTATTACTGAATTTTTGAACTCTAAATTTAACTATCACTATTTTAATGTAATTATTTAATATGAAAAAAAACATACTCTTACTATTTACTTTTACTTGTCATATTTCGCTTCACAATAATCAATTTCATGAACTCTTAATTTGTAAAAATAAAATGGAGGGGGCAAGATATTAAGACACCTTGGAGTTGAGAAGTACTCTATTATTGAGCTAGCATTGGAGTATGGTCTATAGACTTTTAACGTTGAAAATAGGAGTAATAATATATTTATATTTTAAAAAAAAATTAAAAAAATGCAAAGTTCAAAATGAACCACGAAAGGAGTATTAATTAAGATACCTTAGGTGGGATGACCAGATTGGAGTGATGAGTGGATGACAAAAAATGGAAATTAAATACTGTTAAATCTTCATTGAAGAGTTTGGCAACAAATTAATAGAATGAGTTATTGAAGCAATACGTAGAAGAAAGGTAATCAACCAAACATAAACGTGCCTCCAATAAATGTCATGCGATGACTAAAATTTATCTTACTAAAGTAGGGTTAATGACAAAAATTATTTCTCCTGATCTATAACTCGAATTTAAAATGTTTTTTTGATCGATTTTGAAACTTTAAATTTTTTTAAAAAGTTAAGCAAAAACAAAAGAAAATTCTAAATCAAATTCCAAAAGTCACACCACTAAAAATTGCACTAACCTCAAAAATAGACAAAAACTTAGCAAAATGCCAAAATTCATTCGATAAATACTTCGGATGAAATGACAATACTAACCAGGGCGGAGCTATACTAAGCTATGTTTAAGCGGATATCTTTCGTCAAAAAATTACATCGTATATATATAAGTAAAATGATATTTTTAAATGGTTAAATAAGATATTTTAGACACCGTTAAAACAACAAAATTTCTTAGCCCATTGATTTCAGAGACTCAACTAAAGAAAACGTAAATAGAACGTTAGCAATTTTTGTATGGTCATTTTAGAAATAATAATTGTACTATTTAGTGAAGATCATTTTCTTATAAAATAAGAAATTAATTATATAAAAATATAGAAACATAAAAAATATAAAAAAGCGGTATAACGGACGTGTGGTTCAAAGTTAGTTCGCTCAATTGACCTCGCACCACATATAACAAATTTTCGGTATTACATGGTTTTGATACCAAAAGCTCATTCGATATCTTCGAACACAAACCAAATATGCAAATTAAACCATTCATAAAACCATTTTACATGTGCAAATTAATGGTTCTTAGTTCTTGAAACAGTGCATTCAAATCACTGTAAGATGATCCACCTTCTTCAACAGCCTTGTTCGCCATTTTCTTGACTTCTTTTGCTCTCCTCCTCATTTCCTTTGATTCTTCCCCAACCATTACACGCTTCACTGCCTTTGTAATTGCTTCACTTTTCACATTATCCACCACTATGCTCCATTCCTCTGCCCCAACTGCTACTCCAATTTTTAGTACTTTAGTTATCAATTGCTCATTGAAGAATTGCTCTGCAAACATAGGCCAAGTCACCAATGGAACCCCTGCTGATACGCTTTCAAGCGTTGAATTCCATCCACAGTGAGTCACAAAAGCTCCTATAGCCTTGTGATCAAGAATCAGCACTTGGGGTGCCCACCCTCTTATGATTAATCCTTTTTCTTTTGTTCGTTCTTCGAATCCTTCTGGAATCTTGCCTTTCCTAACTACCCATATGAATTCTTGCTCTGAAGCTTCAAGGCCTAATGCAATTTCTTCAATTTGGGAATCAGTAAAGTTAGACATGCTCCCGAAACAAACATAGATTACTGAATTTTGTTTCTTCGTGTCCAGCCATTGCAAGCACTCATGTTGTTTGTGGTCGACGCTTTTATGGAATTTTTCTTCGTTTTTTCTGTTGCAGAGCAAAATGGGTCCAATGTGCCATGCTCTTTTACCCAAAACCTTTCTGTAATAATCAGCATAATCTGGTTCAAGCTCATAGAAGCTATTAACAATGACCCCAAAACTTGTTGACTCGGATTCCTTCACTTGTTCAATAAACTTAGTCATTTCTGTTTCTTCTCGATCATACGGAGCTAATTTCATCCTTGTGAGCTTTACCTTGTGAGGAAGATTCGGGAGAACGAAAGGTTCAGTATCTGAACACACATTCTTCTGAGGCTTGTAGTGCCTAAGGTTCTCCGAAGCACAAAGCGCAAAGAAGCCCATCCCATGAAATACCTGTAAAATTAAACTTAACCTTTAAGTATAAATGACAACAGGGCGGGGAGCGTTATGATAAATCATGAAATGTAGTAATACCAATCTTGGGATATGAAATTTGGCAGCAGATTCTGTAGCCCAGGGGAAGAACATGTCAGCAACGAGAGCGTTGGGTTGACATTCATGGAGTAGTAGCTCTAGTTGTTCTTGAAGCATGGTGGTGGCCTTGAAGAATTTGGGGACCAAATCATAAGAATTCAATTGATCCATTCTTTCACATCCTTCAGGCAAACCAGCTTCCACTGCTGGGAATCTGATGGCTTTGACATAAATTTCTAGCCCCAAATGTTTGATTTTTTCAATCGACTGGATGAAGATGGGTAAGTTCAGAGGAGTGGTGATAATAGTTGCCTTTGCACCACGCGAAACGAACAGCTTAGCCATGTCCAAAGTAGGAATTATGTGGCCGTGCGCCATCATTGGAAAGAAAAATATATGGAGCTGGTCATCAGCCATTACAACTATTTTCACAAACACTTGGTGTGCGCGGTGTTTTAATACATTGTTTAAAGGTTCTCTACAACATGAAAGAACTCTCTTGAATGAAAGAAGCTTAGCTAGAACACGGAAGAAACTGCGTACGTTGGCGTTATCCATTATTTAGCATTGATTCATTTTAATGACACTTTCTTAAATTATGTGTAAACGCAAAATAAGACTGACGTGCCGTTAAGAATGACTCCCCAATTATCTTGTTAGAAATTGAAATTTTATTCGACTCTACAAACATGTTCAATTCTAGTTGAGATTCTACAATATTTGTTCGATTCCAATTAAGATTCCTGAATGCTAAACCATAAATCTTAGTTCATGCCTATATAAAGGGTATTTCAAGCCGTTTCATCAAGTCTGCCCTCCGACAAGCCTTGAAGCAGGGCATTTGTAGAAATTGAAAATTTTGTTGGACTCTACTTCAATTCCTGTTGGAACTCTACAATATGTGTTCAATTTCAATTAGGATTCTTGGATGCCGAACCCTAAATCCTAGTTCTTGCCTATATAAAGGTACTATATTCCCTTGAAAAGACATCTCGAATATTCCATAAAAGTAATGAAATATTCATGTAGAGGTCAAATCTAAATCATTCTAGTTCGAGAAATACGCCACTAACAGAAATCTTAGGAGAGTATAATAAAGGGAGCAACATAATTGTACCCTTGGACAATTGACACTGTAGCTAAATTTAACATTCTACGAATGGCTATTCATGGCACGAGCTTCTTTGATCGAATTGAGGAAGAGAAAAATATGCCCCGGGATTGAATGGATGGAATTCGACACTAGAAAGAATATCAACAAGGGTGTCAAGATGTGGTTTTGAACTTCACTTTGCATCATGGGGTTGCAAGTTTGAAACTAGTTATTACCTTAATAGGATTCAAACCCCATGCCCCCACCTTAGAGGTGTTCAACGCTTAAACCAACCCACCCAAACAATTTTAGTGTAATTGATCGCGTAATAAAATATATGTACATAGTTCGTCAAGTGATTAACAATTTATCCCTACTAGAATGATGATATTAATGGTTGCTTATTTTACTTTATTGAAAGATCAAATCTCTTTTCTACTGTAGAGATTATTTCGTCTTAATGGACTATCTTGCATGATTCTTAAATCTTGGTCCTTCACTTAATAAGGCAATTAGCACCTTTAGCATGACTTTGTGTGTCTTCACCCGAATTAGAATTTTCACACTGAGGTTTAAAATATTAAAAAAATTTAAAACATAAAAAACTAAGGAGATTCAACATCTAATTTGGAGGAGTAAAAAGCAACTTTCGATTCAAATTAGAGAAATATTGAACTTTATCTGCATTACTGGTCGATGATCTGATTTTGAAAGAAGTCGTTATCCTTCCACCCACTTGGTTAGGCCCCTAAGTCCATAGCCCAAGGGAGGCTCTACAGCTTTGAAAAAAAAGAAATTGTCTTGGGCCCCAAAATTTGAGCGGCCTCATTTTCTTTTTTTAAAAAAAACATGTTATAAGTACTTTCTTTAAAAAATATCGAGTATTACTTGTAGAAAATAAAAACTTTTCATAAAAGAGCAAAGAAGTAATAGAAGTTCAACAAATTATGAATACTATGTCTTGAGAAAAATTAAATAATTGGCTATAATAAACTTCATAAAAAATATATGTTCGAATTTAAGGCCTCCATTGAGATTTGGCTTTAGGCCACCGATTTATTAGAGCCGCCGGGCATAGCCCCATTTTGGTTGATTGCATATGACTATTCAATGTACTATTTTCCCCAAGAAATGTGCGTCTCATATTTTGCTTTGAAAATGGTAAGTCAAAAACTAGTTTCCAATCGCCTAAGACAAGACTTGAAAGCTACTAACGAGCTTTACTTTGCTATCTAGTTTCTTATGCAACAGCTTTGTTTCTTCCAAGTTTTAGCATATGGATCAGCTCCATTTTTTCTTCTTTCCCCTGATGGCTCATGGCCACATGATTCCAACACTTGACATGGCAAAGCTCGTGGTTTCTCGTGGTGTTAAGGCCACCATAATCACCACTCCTCTCAATCAATCTGTTTTCTCTAAAGCTATTCAAAGAAACAAGCAAGAAGGAAATGAAATAGACATCCGTTTGATCAAATTCCAAGCTGTTGAAAATGGCTTGCCTGAAGGATGTGAGCGTCTTGATCTCGTCCCTACTGATGAATTGTTAAACAACTTCACCATGGCTACAATTATGATGAAAGAACCATTCGAGCAGCTTCTTCAAGAATGCCGCCCCAGCTGTCTTGTTTCTGATATGTTCCTTCCTTGGACATATGATAGTGCAGCAAAATTTAACATTCCAAGATTGGTTTTTCATGGGACAAGCTACTTTGCACTTTGTGTCACTGATAGTGTCACGCGTTATAAGCCTTTCATGAATGTATCCTCTGATTCTGATGCTTTTGTTATACCGAATTTGCCTCACCAAATCAAGCTGACCAGAACACAACTGACCCCATTCGATCGAATTGAGGAAGAGAAAGATATGTCCCCGATGATAAAAGAACTCAGGGAGTCCGGTTTAAAGGGCTACGGAGTTGTCTTCAATAGCTTCTATGAGCTCGAACCAGATTATGTTGAATATTACGCCAATGTTCTGAGTAGAAAAACCTGGGCTATTGGCCCACTCTCGTTGTGTAACAGGGACATTGAAGATAAAGCTGAAAGAGGGAAGAACTCCTCTATCGATAAGCATGAGTGCATGAAATGGCTTGATTCAAAGAAATCCAGTTCCATCGTTTACGTATGTTTTGGGAGTGTTGCCATTTTCACTGCTTCACAAATGGAAGAGCTTGCTATGGGAATTGAAGCTTCTGGACAAGAATTCATTTGGGTTGTAAGACCAGATAACGAAGAGTGTCTGCCTGAAGGATTCGAGGAAAGAACAAAAGAAAAAGGCCTAATAATAAGAGGATGGGCACCCCAACTGCTAATTCTTGATCACGAAGCTGTGGGAGCTTTTGTCACTCATTGTGGTTGGAATTCGACCCTTGAAGGAATATCAGCTGGGTTGCCAATGGTCACATGGCCCGTGTTTGGAGAGCAATTCTACAACGAAAAGTTGGTGATTGAGGTTTTGAGAACTGGGGTTGGCGTTGGTTCAGTACAATGGAAGAGAATAGATAGCGAGGGAGTGAAAAGAGAAGCAATAACCGAGGCAATAAAGAAAGTCATTGTGGGTGAAGAAGCAGAGCTAAAGCGTACACGAAAATGGCAAGGCAGGCAGTTGAAGCAGGAGGCTCATCTTACACTGGTTTGACTGATTTACTGCAAGATATAAGTGCATTTAGTTCCACAAGTAACTAAGTAAACCATTTATTCCTATAACTCCACTACTATATGTCTAAAAAAAGATGAGAGCAAATAAAGATAACATGTGAGAAGTCTTACGTGTTACATATATTTATATTAAGTGTAAAACAAGTAGAAATATCTTCACACCATAAAATCTAATTTTGCCATTGCACAATAAACTCAGCAATGGAGTCTCGAGTGGTCAAACTCTTGAGTTTCCTTACAAATTGTATTGCATTACGTAGAATATCGTTTAGGTTCTCATACTACGACAAGTTTGAGAACTAACCAATGGTAGTGTCGGGCACCTGGGTACTATCCATATGGGGGACCCGCCTTTTATCAAATGTTTGCTACACAGAGAGTTTAGACTCTGTACCACCTTTCTTGGATTTCGAGCTCACAAGCATCACGTTTATACTTACCAGCAGGTACTTGGGCAATATAATCCCTTGCTTCCCCTTCTCCCAATGATGCCACACTTGGTACAGTAGGAAGCCAAGGACAAAAGAATGGAGGAGTACATATATATTATAATACAGCAGCATCATGGCTTGACATGAACAGACAATTTTCGCACTGGAACCCACGTGTCAGTGGGTATTGTCAGTAGTGCGTTTTATTTGCAGAGCAGCTCTAACAACATTGCCCCTTGTGATAATCCCAACCTTCACATTTCAGCGAACAGGGCTTCATCAGAAATTACATGCTGCTGACAAATTCAGTAAAAAGGAAAAAAAACAACAAGAAGAAAAGTGAACTAGAGGGCAAATTACCAGTTTACCATCAACATCTACAACTGGTAGCCGACGGTATTTCGTTTGGAGCAACAACCTATAATCAGCAGAATATCTCATGAAGGCAACTTCACGGTTAAAAATTGCTGAATGAATAATACAGATTCTCTCATTAGGTGATTAGCAAGTATATTATAGTCAAGCAGCAGGAGATAAAGATCAGCAAGAATTCTCTGCCTTACATAACACGTCTCTTGCAGCCTTCCCAAATGGATAGGTATAAAACAGAAATAGGCATTAAAAAGAATTTGAAAAGGTTACCAAAAGCACTAGCTAATTGGAATCTTGTAATAGCTTATAATATAAATAAGCTGACAAAAGCCTCTTTAATTACCTCGCAGCATCTTCAAGGTTGGTGTTTTCACAGACGGACAATGGAGTTGGTGTCATGACATCACCAACAACTTTTCCATTAGTTTTGCTCAGTAGCGTTTGAACCTCATTGAATGTCTACAAAATCACAGAATCAAAGCAAGATACTTAACAAGATAAAGAGGGAAACTAAACATAATTCATGGACTAAGAATTTCCTTGTACCACTACAAATGACATGTATTTAAAGTAATCTCCATAATGCTCTTTTCAGTTTGTTTTTTTCCTTTGATGAGAGAGAGAATTATCTTAGAATACTCTAATAAGTGGGTGTAATCCTAATTCCACCCTTGAAATGAGAGCCAAACTCATAAGTGAACATTGGCTTGTAATATCTATCACTCGCCAAAAACTATATCCTAGCATGTTATCGAACTATGGCATCCACTATTAGAACAAAAGATTATGACATACCTTCCAAGTACTATCAACATCAGGAAACAGGTTTGTGTCAGCTTGGCCAGCTCCTGAGTAAGAACATGAAATATATAAGAAAACAGAAGAAAGAGGAACTGAGGCATTACTTCTACCAATGGAAGATGAATTATACTTTTAACAAGGGTTCTATTTAAGGAAGCATACAAAGAAATAGTAACCACACATTCATCAAAAGTCAAACAGGTTACTATATTTCTCTCACTCATCAGTCATTCAGGGAAACAGTTTAT